TGATCGTCGGCGATCCCTCATGTTACGTTTATTTAAAGGAAAGCAGTTCTTCAGTTTCTCAGCACTTTGTATTGTTAGGAGTAATCAGTATATTCACATTGACGTATACATTATTTTTGACGATTCTAATTATACTTTGAAGTTTTCTAGACAATAGAATTAATGAAAAACAATTTCCTAGTAAAGTATCATAGACAAGTTTGCAAGATCTATCCGCGCTTTCGACATCATTTCTTTTATTAGACAATTTCAGCTTCTATACTAGAACAATGTCTAACTGACATCCACACTAGCAGGACGACAATAGTTTAAGTAGGGTATTTATTTACTTCTATCATCGATTACAAGATATACTGTTTGAGAAATACGTTAGTTAATCATTTCTCATACTACGGGGAATTAGGCAATGTGTAAAAGCTTCGTCGGCATTTCATAATGAACTGAAAGATTATGCTTGCTTATTTTTTCACGCTCGAAATCTATTTCACTAGTTTATAAGGTTAACTGTAGCACGTAGCTCAAAAATGCTCTCAGCGTATTCTTTTGGACTCGGCTGCTTCGAGGTAAAATCATGCATATTCAAGGAAATGGGCCATTAAGTTTCACATCATTATTCTAGCAACTCACGAGTTAATCGACATCTTATTCTTACCTATTTCGGAAAAACGTACCGACTCAAACATGCTCGTTTCGGTACTGATGAACTAGGTGTAATGAATATCATCGTTAACAAACGAGTCAAGTTCGAGCCTTGCCAAGTGTTTCGACATTGTCTGAAAACACGTCTATTACAGACAAGAGATAAATCGAGGAAAGCTCATTAATTGAGGATGGAAATCGGCACTCTCTCATGCAAAATGTTTTGAAACTATGAAGACAATTAAAGCTAATAGTTTGTTATTGTGTATATAAACACGCAAATGTGAGTCTGTACCGTTTGATCCATCTACGGTCTCTTTCTGTTAAACGATCCCTAGACATAATCAAGTTACGTTCATAGAAATGCATAAGTAAAAAACAATTTAATAGTATCGTGATATTCTCGAAGGCACATTATCTATTCAAATTACCATAATGAAACTGTTAATCGTATTTGAAACATGGCACAATAGGTTTGAACTTCCTTCTTTCAACCTTCTCTTTTCCTTAGCTAATTCATGGATTTATTAAAGAGTTCTTTATGAACCAATAGACAACAACAATGGCTTCATAGATACCCTTTTGTTTTTTAGTATGAATTTCCTAAGAAGAGTTTGATCGCTATTTATGAGATTCTGTTTCTCCCGCTACAGATGCGCGTTTTATGTTCTTTACGAATATTGTGAGAGTAATGAAGAAAGACCGAAAAAGGTCAAATTTGTCACTCTCATGTTATAACGGAAACATTCATTTTATTACGGATGTTTCCTACATCTCTACATATTCATCGATTCTCAAGATTGAAAACAAAGTAGTGTTTTAGCATTTTTAAATCGTTTGACATCTCCAATGACTTTGAATAACATTTATGTGACTTTAATTTAGATAAAACTATATTGTGCTGATGATGTCCAACCATTCGTACAATTATTGTAACATACAAGATTGGGCACAACCTGCTTTAGCTTCTTGCCATGTCTTAAAATGGATTGGTAGTTATCTCTGTTTTGTATTTCTTTGTGGTGTTGTACTCAATGGAATTATATTAACTATCCACCTTGAAAATAGAAAACGTCGTTCACCTATTGAAGTTTTCATATTAGCGTTGTGTTTTTCCAATCTTGCTGCTGCTATTCTAGGCATTCCATTGCCACTTACCTCTAATTTAGCTTGCCGGTTAGTACAGAAAAAGTTTATTTTTATCTTAAGAGTTTTTTTACCTGTTTGTTCAGGTGGTTATATGGTAAATACCTATGCTATTACGAGGGTTTCGTGGCCTATTTTGTTGGAATGGTTGGGCTATATTTACTAACATCATTATCATTAAATAGGTTGGAAAATCTTGTTATGAATTTGACTTAATTTTGTGCCTATTTGATAAAAGATATTGGATGATTGTAACACCACATCGAGAATATCTGCTTACCTTTCAAACTGCTTACATATCCGTGGTTTTGTCCGTACTTGGAGGACTGTTTTGGGCTACAACACCTATGTTCGGCTGGTAAGTAAATGCACGTAATAGATAATTTCCTTTTTGAAATTATCAGAAATAATCATAGAAGTATTAAGTAGTTTTCGATAACATACTTGCCTGAACTGTACTCAGAGGAAGAGTCAGAATTTCCGAGACACCGCGTACCATGTCGTGATAATTTCTAGAATGACTATATTCCGGTTGGATGCCCAATTTGAGTAAAATGCAATATAAAAAAAGTTTTTTAAATAATTACGTCTATAATTTAGGAACAATTACACATTGGAGGGTGTACTGACCTCATGTTCGATATGTTGGCAAGCTCGAACAGTTAATGTAATCAGCTACAATGTTGCTATGTTTATTTTCGCCTATGTTTTACCATTATTTATCATGGCCTATTGTAATATTTGTATATATCTCAAAGTAAGTTCAATAATGTGTTGATCTGGGTGATAAATCATCGAACATGTTCTTATACAAAATAGGTACGAGAAGTGACAAGAATGAAGGCGTCACGGTTCGTGCAAAGGCACATATCGAAGAGACGTTGGAAGCGACAAACCATGGAACGGCACATTGCCAAATCAGTATTTCTCGTCATCCGTAAGTACTCTATTAATGTTGAAACAGCCATTAAGACATACTATACATTTCCACCTTTGTTACTCAATCTGTATGGAATTATTCTAACTATAGATTAAAAAGCTCCAATTCCTCATTCTAATCTCTTTCACGGTATTTCCCCATTATTGAACTCTGCTGTTTATATTTACAAAGTAGTATTGTTAACGCATTGTATTTGCATTGACACCTTTATAAAACTGTATTTATTTTTATTTCTATTAATTTATATGTCTGTCAGACAGGAAGAGTCTTCCATGAAACTATATCGTGTGCGACGTAGAAAATAATACCATCGGTATTTTCTCATTTGGTTCATCTTCGTTCATTATGGAAAAGACGGATCAGTGTTAAAAGATGCGCCATTAAATTATCTACAAAGTAGCATATCTATCACATTCAGCACATGCTTCTTTAGTTTTTCAAGATTAATGCAAGTTGCAAAAGACATTATTGCAACTTTCCAAAAAATGTATTCTTTAAAAACATTGTGCACTGTTAACGATTGTGCTTTTACCTTCAACTTCACACCGATGTTCTTTCAAAGTTCACTGCGGTACTTTATTGAAGGAAGTTTTTCACGACAGGCGCTACATTAACGTTAAAATTGAATATATAGTCTCTACTCAATTAAAAACGAGTAAAAAGTATCTTTTAAAATGATCTTTTTGAAAAGTTGCGATGATGTCTTTTGGGATTTGCATTAATCTTGAAAAACTAAAGAAGCACGCACTCAATGTGATAGATATACTACTTTGTAGATAATTTAACGGCGCATCTTTTAGCACCGATCCACCGTTCTCATAGTGAACGAAGATCGACAAAATGAGAAAACACTGATGATACCATTTTTTTATGTCACACCCTTACCCTTATAACGTTCAATATAAATGTCTTCATTAGCTGCAAACAGCAAATGAGCTAGAGGCAGAGCAACACCCTTTCGGAAAACTGGTAATATCTGTAAAACCGTATCATTAGCCGCACTACGAAATTATTTTAGTTCTTAATATCTATCTCAATCAATCAGTCTTCCTAGATCACTGGTCGCTTGACAGACAGACAGACAGACAGATAATCGAGCAAAGTTTCATACTTGTTAACCTTTAATATGCTTTAAATAAATATCTAGACAGCAAACGGGTCAAAATTAATCGAATTTTCGCATCAGAGACTCCCGTAACGATTAACGTCATACTTTAGTTAGTCACTTTGTATTTCCTGGAGGCTTAACGCCACGCGCTCAAATAGAATATGGCTGTGAACGTTTTCTAAATATAAATCATCTATTTTGTATTTAGTTGCATTTACTGTTGCATGGACACCCTATGCTATTGCTGCTTTTATCTCTTCATTTTTCTCTCCTACTCTAATTTCACCTCTAGGTGGAACCTTACCAGGTAAGTTGATATCGAGTATACCTATACTTAGATTTTCAATAATTGTATTTTACGATTCAGCTATATTTGCAAAATCATCTATATGTTTCAATCCACTTACTTACATCATTTCGAATTCGCATATTCGCTCCAAGGTGTTCTCTCGGCGAATACCATTTAGAAGCTCAGATGGTTCGTATTTGAACATGCATAAATCTGGTCTAAGTATTACCTATTTTAGTTTATTCTCCAGTGAAGTTACCCTATCAGTTAGCGAATGCTCCACTCAAATCTCAAATTGTGGTCAATAATAGCTCAAAATGAAAATGGTCTCACTCTTCTCTTTATTATTTCTATTACAGTGTTAGGAAAACAGTTTCATTATTGTTTTTATGTTATTGCAGTGCTATTCTTCGAGAATATTTACAGTGAGTCTTGCCCTATCTCGCCAAACGTATCTTTACGGAAGGTCTAACTTTTCAAATTGAGTTCTTTTTCGTGAAAATGTTTAATAAAAAAAATATATCAGAGAAAATCTAATACTACTACAATGTACCATGTTGAAGATTAGTAGGAGAACTCCTTTGTGCATATGAAAATAGCCTTACTACAGCAGAATCGAAATGAAATAGTGTAGATGAAACCGTAGGTTTTGCGAGGAGATTTTCAAATTACTTGATGTGGAATTCTAAGATTCGTGATTTTGACTTTTGTTCGGCAAACTTTGATTAATTCCATCAATGAGAGAAGAAAGATGATTATATATACTGAAAAGTGGAGAAGATTTTTATTCTCGTCAAATGACTTCAACAATAAAATACATCTACGAAGGTTAGAAAAAGAGAGAGAGAGAGTGAATAAGTCTTTGTCATGGTGTTCGATTATTTATTTACATTTTTCACAACGATTATTCCTCGAAATTTTGATGCAATTAAACTACCTTGAACACCTTTTAGAAATGCTTGACCAACGATATTCATTGATAATTGAAGATGTGTTTGTTCGTTTTTTAAAATAACGTCACTAACGACATTTCGAATGATAACATCGCCATCGATATGAGTGACGCTAGTGTTTCCGTTTTCTTCTCGAACAACGACAGATTGATGAGCAGTGCGATAATTATGAATGATGATTTCGCCGTAATGTTTCGATGAATCGGTTGTTTCATCAACTTCTAATTCTTTTAGCATCATTTGCTTTGGACCTCGATATAATTGCAAATCATTATTTAATGCTAAGGTTTCGAAGCCGTATTTTTCACTTGGTACGAGTGTATCATCTCGAAATACTTCTTTAATCACTTCGTTTAGACTCTTGTTGATTGGTTCTTCGACAACTTGATGACCCGCAGCTAAAAATTTCGAATTAATCAACAAATAGAAAAAATGTGACACTTTAGTGCATATTTACAACTAAGCGTACGAAAATAGACACGATCGTGTCAATAGTAGTGTCTCGCGTGTGTGTAGTGTAAAGGTTAATCAGAAAAATAAGACTCAACAGGTTTTTTTCTCTTACTTCTTCGTTATAGCTTCTTATAGGTCGTCTTCAATGAAGCTTGAGTCTCATTGTTATGTTTATCGATAAATATCACTAGTAAACAGACAAAAATGTACCTGCTTCCATAACCCCGTTGACAACATTTTCTAGACTTTCTTCTATTCTTTCAAGAAATAATGATGGATCGTATTGCTTTGCTGAAATGAAATGATAAGATCATAGGAAAAGACATACGTTCGTTTTGCTTGTCGAATTTTACCTGGTGTTGTAACAAATTTGAATTCTTGAACTGTACTCATTTGATCATCCGTTGAGGGTGACGTTGTATTATCAATTTTGAACGCATATGCTGTATCTTCTTCAAGATCTTCCACTTTGGTGCTTAGGTTTTCTTTATCAATTGTTCCAATCTGAAATAAAGAAATAGATTGTTTATGAATCTCATAATGTATAATTAAAGGTCTTTTGTAATAATAGTTACTTTCGTCCAATCTTCCTCTGTTGTTTCTTTTTTCGAATATACATCGAAAACATCTTCGAATGTTGCTGGCTCATCTTCCGGAACAATTGCTTCGATCAGAACACTAGTCGAATCAAGTTTTTCTAATTTGAAGTGAGGAACTGCCGATACAGATGCAGCATTCGTGTCAGTTTTGTCGTCGTCTTCGTTGACATCTTCTCGAAAAGAAGTTTTCGGTGATTTAGTCTCTGACTTTTCGTTCTCATTCGCATCTTTGTCCGAAGAAGCTTCTTCGTACTGATTCGCATCCTCTTCGATTTCATTTGGAATCGAAGATTTCGCTGAACGAGGTGTTGCTGTTTTTCCTTCATCGACATCTTGCTGAAAGGAGGATCTTGATGATGATGACGCCACTACTGATGGTTTACGTTCACTTTCGTTAGCAACTTTTTCCGTCGAGGAATCAATGACAGCATTTTCAGTTTTGTTTTTTGTTTCACTGGATATGTCCTTCGTCGACGATTGAGATGGAGTAGCAGCTGGAGTTTCATCTTCTTCCTGGTTGACTAAAGTAAAAATCGAAAAGAATATTTAGGAGACGTGTGGAATAGAAACCAGTTAAGCTAACATCGTCCTCTTCGTGCTGATGGCGTTTTAACATCCAAAATAAGTGAAAGTTGAGACGAGTTTACGTCATTCTTTCCTGTATTTGTCGCTGTTCCAGATGCGATTGGAGTGAAACGAAATTTATAATCAGTTCCTTGTTTGAGACCATCGATTGTTAAACGTGGATCATCGTTGGTGATGTTCGACATCTAAAACGAAGTTCTTTTCTGATATTTTTCTTTCGCACCTTCAACGATTTACCTGCTTCCATCCATCTAATTGATTTGCTGCTGTGTATTCAACTTTATATGAGTCATATTGTTTGAAGCCGTCTTCGGAAATATCGATGTTCACTTTAGTTGGTGAAGATGGTGCGATATGTAAAGAACTCAATAGTTCATTTACGTTGTGCACAGTTATCAATTCGGGTTCAGGTTCTGCACCTACGTAAATATAGTCAAATTAATATCAATACGAATAAATTTGTTGTACCTGTTTCCGCAACTTTTTCAGATTCAGATTCAACTCCTGTTGGTACCAAACGGAACTGACAGTGTTCAGCGTCAGTTAAACTATCGATTCTTGCCGATCGTTGAGATAACGGAACTTCAGTAACTTTTTCCCAATTAGCTATGTCTTCTTCTTTCTTTTCAACGTTATACACATTTGCTTGCTCCTCTTGCTGATTATTTCCTTTGGTAGAATCTACCTGCTTATCGTCATTCCATGTCAATTGTACTGAACTAGGCGAGAGAACTTCGACATTAGGCACAACGATATTGTTTTCGCATGATGAATTTAAATAAATTTCATCTGTTGGTTTACTCATAAATATTTGTCCATTTTGCAGATGAGCCTTGAGACGAAAGTAGACAGGTCGACTTTCATTGATTAGATTACTTGTGTCTGTGGATGACGAAATGTCTAATTGAGTTTGATTTGCATATTTATCAATATGTTCTCCGACCGGCGACCAGTCGTCATCGCTAACTTGACGTTCAATGGTATAGTAGTCGATGGCTGATGACGAACTTGGTGAAGCCCATTTGCATAAAAGGCGAAGAGAAATATTTTCATCACCTTGAGTATTATTTGATGGCGATAAAGTTTGACAGCGGACAGTAAATGAAATTAATTCAATATCGGTTGTTTTGTCTTGATCAGATTTCATTGATAATGTTCGAGTTTTACCAGAATTTTCTTCTTGATCTTCAGATGCCTTTCTACCGCGCCCTGCATATGGTTCGTTCTCTTGATCTCTAGAAGCCTTTCTGTTCCGATCTACGTACAACCCATTGTCTTGATTGTCTGATGTCTTCTTGTCTCGGCCTATAGACACCTCGTTATCTTGATCTTTTGAAATTTTTCTATTTCGATCACTATATAGCCCATTGTCTTGGTCACTAGAAGCCTTTCTATAGCGATCGGTAGACATTCCGTTGTCTTGGTCTCTAGATGTCTTTCTATAGCGATCGGTAGACACTTTGTTGTTTTGATCGTCGTATGAAAGAGAAACTCTTCCTAATCGATCATTCAATTCATCGATCATTTGTTTCGATTCTATACAGGGAAAAGCCAATAATTTTTATCATAGGAACCTACATATGTTCGAAATGTAATCTACTTACTTCGTCGGTACTTTTGACTTTCATCATTATCATCAGTAAATGTGGTCTTATATTTGTCATACTTTCTATCAGTTGCAGTTCTATCATCATCTTTCGAAGCATTGAAACGTTTTTCGTCTGCTTGCTGTTGCCGTTTTCTATCCGACGCTGCTATGGCGTTATCATAATCAGCTAAAGCTCGTGAACGAGACGATGATGACGACGCAGGATAAGTAATACCAGTCGAACTCGATGAAGGTAGAAACTCACGTTGTTCACTGAATCGTTGTCGACGTTCTCGAATCTCTTGGACACGTCGAGACGTCACAGGTGCTGACGGTTCTCTTACATATCGAAATGTTTGCTGTTCTAAGTCCTAGTAGAGATAGATTGAAATTTTTCTTAAATACAATATTGGACAGTATTCTATTCGTACTCGAAGACGTTCATAAGCAATATTGCCTTTCAAAACCAGCGGATTATTCGATCGATCAAATTCAAAAGCAGAACGACATCGACTTCTGCCCATCGGGCTCAAATCCATTCGCCAATTCAAACTAATTTCATCTTCACCAAGCATACGTAAAATACGATTAAGTTGTACTTCTTGTCCGGCAACCTACATGAACCGTCGATAATTTAATTTGCCCGAAGATCAGACTGGCAGAATAACTTACAGTTTCATATGTATTGCGTAAAAAGTAGTAATCTTCCAAACGTTTTTCTGCTCCAGCAGCCAGGAAATGAGCGACTAAATGTGGTGTATCATTCTACATAAACAAGCATCGGTCAGTAACGAGACAATCTATGACAATAACTTGGTCATAACTCACCATTGTTAACACTTGCAGTTCAATTTAACAGAGAGAGAAAGAGATGATTTTTGAATAAAAGTAACTGATCCTCGTCAGCGCATACAAACAAGTGTCTGTTAGATGTCTAAAAATAATACATCTTGTAAAAAGACAACCACACTACAAGTGTGTTATTTCGAGGTTCTCTCTCTCTTGATATTAGACTTTAGCATCGATATCAAAGGTTGATAGTGAGACAGATGTTGTTGTTATTGCTGATGCCTATCATATTGATAGATCTTATCGGTAAATCATCATATTCGTGCTTAATTGAATATTTTCATCATATCGATTGGTTTTCTTTCTTACATTCTATTGTATCATCATTATCACTAGAAGAAAATAACAAGCACTATCAATCGAGACAGATTCATGAGAAAAGTCGAAGAGAGAGGAGGCGATGACGATGATGATAACAAGAGATTTAGTAGTTCTATTGCCGATCTATCGATATTATCAATATTCATTCATAAATCTCAGTGCTGTTGTTGTTGTTGACACCACCTCAAGGCTATTTTCGCCTCACATTTGCTTCCTGTTTTGGATTTTCTTCTTTGTACAGAGTCTCCGAACTTAGGAGCCTCGTAATGATAAACAGGATTTGCCACATGTTTATTTGTTTTGTACAATACTTGTAATAGAAGCGTATCGAATCTGTTTCACCATAATATCATGCTTCGTAGCCTTTCTCGCTGGGGAAATGTCATGATAATCATAGTAGGCGTTGTCAATCAAGCAGCGACTGAAAAAGTAAGACACAATAACTTGATAGCGAGCCTGTAGTGAACAATAACAACAACATTATGAAGCGTAGTTATCGGAAAAGGATAGACAAATCACATTTTTATTCAGACTATCAGAGTAACACATTGTTGTAGATGTAAATTAAATTTGAAAAAAAGAACGCAGTGTCAATAGTAAGAAGGAATTATATTTTCGACTTTGGGAGTTGAGCACTTTGAACAATATTTTCTTTGATTAGTTTTTCGATATGTTCGGTAGTGTAGCCGATTTCGCGTAAAATTTCAGCCGAATGTTCACCTGAGTTCGGTGCTGGTCGATCGACAGCTGGTAGTTTCGATGCCGAAAAGCGAGGTGCCGGTGTTGGAATAAGCTGTTCTTGCTTTTCATTTGTGAAAAGGAAATTCTTTCTGTCTTGATTATGTTCATGTTTACATGCCGCATCCCAATTCAACACTGGTGTACAACAAGCATCTAATTTATTGAATATTTCTGTCCATTCTTTTTGAGTTTTTCTTTTGAAAATCTCTTCGAACTTCTTCTTCATTTCATGAATGTTCATTTGATTATGTGTTTCATCATTCGGGTCGAGACCAAGCCCGATTAGAAGTTGCTTATAGAATTGTGGTTCAATTGCACCAACAGCCATATAGAGACCATCGGATGTTTCATACGTATCGTAGAAATGAGTTCCGCCGTCAAGTAAATTTTCACCGCGTTGATTACTAAACCACACCATTGGCAAATCACGTGAAGTCCACATCCACGAACTAACATAAGCCGATCCTATTGTAAGCGGACATATATCGATAAAATCGAGAAGAAATGTCAAGCAAACCTTCGGCAAGTGATAAATCAAGTACTTGTCCTTGTTTTGTCGTTTGCCGTTCGAATATGGCAGCCATAATTGCATAAGCGGCTAATAGACCACCTCCAGCAAAATCAGCAGCTAAATTAATTGGCGCATGCGGTTTCTGGTTCGATCTTCCCAACATTGATAGTAGACCACTAATCGATAAATAGTTAATATCGTGTCCGGCCTTCTTGGCCAATGATCCATCTTGCCCATAGCCTGATACGCGGGTATAGACAAGATGCTTGTTCTCGTTGAGTAGTATATCTGGACCTAGACCGAGTTTTTCCATAACGCCAGGTCGGAATGGTTCGATGAGAACATCAGCCGTCGATGATAGACGACGAAACACTTCTATGCCTTTCGGAACTTTCAAATCAATCGAAATCGATCGTTTGCCTCGTGCAAGTCGATCAAGCCGAGCATTTTGTCGATCATCAGGTCGATCGATACGTATCACAGATGCACCAAAATCAGCAAGAAGCATACCACAGAATGGAACTGGCGCTAAACCAGATAGTTCAAGTACTTTAAGTCCGCGCAAAGCCATGACAAAGTCTGGAAATAGGACAAAACAAAATGTTAATTATTTATTCTATCTTCTGCTCAATTCATAATTATCATTAGTATCAATCAGATCAATATTGCTTGCATAGAAGTATCTCTCTTATCAGTCACTAATTATATAGTTCGTCTGATGTTTATTTAACATAGAAAAAGAGGACATAGTTGACACTATTTTTCCACTACAAAAAAAGGGACAAGAAGAATTAGTGTGTTCTGTAAATCTATAGATAAAGATAAGAAAATATTTAATGTAAGCGCCATAGTGCTTTCATTGCTTTTGTTAAGCCAATATCATTGTATGCAAAGTATCTATTTAAGAGAAAAGAAAAGAAAAGAAAAGAAAAGAAGATCGGTAAGAATTTCGAGCTTTATTCCTTATGGCACTTACGAAAGGCCACCAAAGACAATAGCTGTCAGTGCATATCGAATGATGTTAGCCAAAGGCAAAGCTGGTCTTGGACAATAATCGATCAACACAGTGTCCAAGCCCCAATGAGCATGAACGGCAAGTGACGCAGCAAGTAGATAATTCATGAATGCCGTATCATATACGAATGATCCAGGTATGATTGCGAGCATAGCTATAGCAACCACACGCTCGATTTTCCAATGAGCAGTGCCTGTTAAAGCAGCCATGCCCGCCACAGGATGTTGAAGTTGTTTTGAGACTCGCGGTTGAAGTGCTGTTCCTGTAGTAGCTGGAACCATTAATTTCTATATGTTGAAATAAATGATAATATGATTAAAAAATACTCAGCTCGATATTACCGATGATGGAGCAGAAAGAAAATATGAATTGGCCAATGCTGGATGAGCGATACGGCTCAATGGTCGAAAAGCACGCATAAGTGCGAAACTCATTCTTTACTGCTTCAAAAAGAGTTTATAATCTGAAATAAGAAATAACTTTCTATAGAGCTGGAAATTTCACTTCTATTGTTCTGTATATCTAAATCTCAAGTACGAGAAGAAATGAAATAATTCTTATTTTTTAAACGACCATGTTGATCCTTGGTGTCGATCCTAGAACAAAAATGCAATGTTTAAGAAAGAAAAGATGCTCTATCATTTTGATAAGTAATACTTTTATCTCTACACCGAGATATTTCATTTGGAGACGATAATCATCGCACTGTTCGAGTAATTGTTTTTTCGGACTTTCTCCACTGGCAACTTTTTGACGGCTGATGTCGCGTATATTTGTACGAAATTGTACGCTTTTTTCAATGACATTTTCCAATAAAATACGATCAGATGATGCGTTCTATGTACACACCATTTACATCGATGGAAATATCGCCGACTGATCAAATCTTACTTGATTTTGACCGCCAGAAATACTCATATCAATACCAAATATCCCAAGCCATGATCGAATGAAATCAACTGCTAAATGCAACGCACACGTAGACGTGTTCATCATTGTATTCTGGAAGAAAAGGTAACCATAATCATTCTTAGCTGAACATAGAAAAGTTTGCTTCTCATGATCGTCTTAACTAGTATCGACTCTTTCTCAGACCACTTACCATTAGTGTATCATACCTCATTGTCACGAATATCGTAGTTCATATGTGAATTAATCCAGTGGACAAGTTCTTGCAAACGAGTCATTGCTGATGGTGTATCGAAGTTGTTTGCTAAGACATCGATAATTTCATCTTGAGTATTGCCGATTCTGTCAAAAAAGGAGACGGTGTTTAACATTTTGAGGTGCTTTTGCATACCTGGATATCGTTTCAGCTTCCGACAAAGTGGAAACATCAACTAGACCTTTTTGACAAGCCTGAACAGTTTCAAAAAACGATCGGAATAGTTTATCAACGAATAATGCTTGCTGAATGGCAGCTGATTCAAATGATCTTGCTGAAGTGAAAGAATGGTTTACTAGATTTTATTTTGTCATTCATTACTTACGTGAACGATAATCGTGCATCAAACAAAACAGACGAAATTGTGCAGGTGTGTACGTTTCCAGCATATCACGAATGAGAATAGTATTATTCAACGATTTGGACATTTTCTCATCCATAGATTTTGTATTCAATAGACCTGAAATCAAACTATTGAACATGTGTAATTCAGTAATAGATTACATTCGTACCTGAATGTAACCAATACTTCACCCAGGTTTTATTGCCGTGATATGCTGTAGATTGAAGAATTTCATTAGCATGATGAGGAAAGACAAGATCGAGACCACCAGAATGTATATCGAGATGAGAGCCAAATGTTCGACTAAACGATTCAAGTAGAAGAACAGCTTTCGATAGAACAACAGAAGGAAATATAGTTTACCTTGCCATGGCAGAACATTCGATATGCCATCCAGGTCTTCCATACCCCCAGGGTGATTGAAATTTCAATTCGTTGCTTGTCGGATCTCGTCCTTTCCACAGTGCGAAATCTCGCGTACTACGTTTTTCAGCCAGAATGTCCGATTCTATTGATGACAGACCTTGTTCATTCATTCGATGATGTTGATAATCATGTTTTTCACCGTACTGGTTCATATCAAAATAGACCGAACCCGATGGACATGTATACGCAACTCCTTTATCGATCAGTCTCTGTATGAAATTGATTATCAATGGTATGTGATCAGAAACACGTGCATACAGAGTTGGCGATTGAACATTTAGCTTTTGCATATCATCAATGAATTCTTGTTCATATTTTTTTGATATTTCCAGATAATGAACTTTTTCCTAAAGAACATTCTTTTACAAAACAATCCATGAGTTCTAGGTCAACAAACTTTCTGGCTACGTTGAATGATTTTATCGTCAATATCTGTGATGCCCATCATCAGAACGATATT